GCCCAGAGAAGCTGTGGCTGCCCCATCCCTGGCAGTGTTGAAGGGCAGGTTGGATGGGGCTTGGAGCAACCTGGGCTGGTGGGAGGTGTCCCTGCCCATGCAGGGGGGGGATGGAACTGGATGATCTCTAAGGTCCCTTTCAACCCAAACCATTCAACGATGATGATGATGAAAAACTTTCCATAGTGAATCATCTGAAGATGCCTCTAGTATAGAAAGCACAAATCTACAAAGAAATCACTGTTAACTAACACAAAGCTCTAATGGCATACATGCTAAGGAAAGGGGTTTATTTGCCTAGATCAGGGAGTAGGCAGTAGACAGTTCAGGTGGATGACTCCAACTCAGGAGAAGGCCCTTTGGGCAAGGGTAGGAAAACTGAGTCAGCATCAGAGCTCCAAAGGGAGAAAGTAATAACTTCAGAGGGAACAAGGGCACTTGTGTCAGTGCTGAAGATGCTCTGTTAGAATGTGACATAACACAAAGTAAGTCATGTAAGCAAAGGGAAGCTGAAGCAATTGACAAAAGAAGCTGGATGCCAGGACAACCAGGCACCAGCATCAGAAATCTAAACAAAAAAACCTGAAAACCAACACCATCACCCAACCACCCCCTGAGTACTGGCATAACACTGTACACAGAGCTGACAGCAAATACTCTACTTCTGTTGAGGGACTGATAACTATTTCCAAAGCCCAAAACACACAGGAACAGGAAAACAGTGAAACCAAATACACATACAGCGGTTAGGAGTCAAAAATTAGCCTCCGGATAGACCAGACTGGAATATTCACTAATCACTGTTTGTGTACACAAGATTTAAACCCTGCCTGCTTACATGGTCAAGTCAGTTGAGTCCAATTTCCACAGACTGAAAAAAAAATATCATATGAGAACTGAGAGACTAACTCACTGAAAATCAGTATTTTATACTAAAGTCTTTTAGACTCCTTTGAAATCTCAGTTGGAGATCCACCAGCCTTGTCCTGAAACCCAGGACTGATGATCCTGGCAGGTGGCATCGTTAGATGATGGGATTTGCAATGGAAAAACCCTGAAAGGTACTTAATTCTGCTGTAATAAAGATCAGTACACTCAGAACCAATAAAAAAGAAATTATGTTATGGTAAATATTGAATAGATATTTTTTGCCTACCACACATGTAAATTTGAAAACATGTGATATGCATTTTACCTTTTGAAGGAAAATTGTCAGATTATATCCATGATATCAATCATATCCATGATATTTTTAAATTTTTAAAGCCTTATTTGCCAGTGGTTTCCCTATAATACCAATTTAAACTTCAAATATTTAACTGTGCAAAGCCAGGACTATTTCTGCCAGTAAAGATAATGTTATTAATCCAAGACTGAGTCCCATGTCCAGCTAAGCCATTTTTTTGTATTGTTGTGTATCTTGAAACTTGCATTTTAACCTTTTCAGTATGCAAACTAATGTTAACATTTATCTTATCATCAATATCCAGGAAAAAAACCTAAAAATATATAATATTGCTATTATCTGTACATTTTCAGACTTTGGTATTCTTTGTCTGTATTTTAATATCTACTTCAAACCACAAGTAATTCTATACTGCTGTACTGCTGCTTAACACTTGTTAGGATTTTTCCAAAATGTTTGCCCCATAATCCTAATTCTACATTTGCATTCAAAGGCAACAGGAACATAGTTTTAATGACATTGTCAGAGCAGCTGATACACTTGTTAACAGTTAGCCAGGAAAGCATTTTCTTCCTCATACCTTGCTTGCGTACATCCTCTACAGCAGCAACCAATTCCTCCTTAAGATCCTGGCTCTCTTTAGCAATTTGATCTCCTTTTTCCAAGAAGTTTTGGGTGGCCTGCTCCACTGATGCAGCCAACACATGAGCCTTCTTAGAGCGCCCTTTCTTTTTGCCTGATGGTCCCTTATTGCTCGTGTTAACAAGCGTTGTTACCTGTGGGGAAGAAAAATAAAGGTTTGTCAGTTTGAATGATTCTTCAACTTTAAAAAACCAACTGATGGCCACTTAGTTCAATGTCCTTACTATTTTCTTTACCCTTGAAATGATGCAATGGTCACACATCCTGAATCAATAAAATGTAAAGTTTAAAATCCCAAGTATGGCAGGGCCTACCTCAAAAAGGTTTTTCCTTTTAACCTAGATTTAATCTGAGCTAAGCAAATTATAGTCATCAGTGAAGGAGGAAAAGATGAGAAAGAGGTATGGAAGGGCACTGGTGCTAACACATAATTTCTGTCACTGGTTTGCATTAAAAAAAAAAATAAAAATGAACAAGCCAATAAAATGAAAATCCAACACATGTAAGTCAGAAAGCATTCCAAAAGGCATCAGCCCTTTGGAGAAGTGTTGTCACTTACATCAGGTGGTGACAAAAACATTGTGGCCGTTTTCCAGCTATTAAGGAAGGAATAGCTCCTGCTGCAAAGATTATACAGGTTCAAACTATTCACTTAAGCATTGCTGCAATATATTTACAAAATATATATTATAATATTTTTATAATAGACAAAACAGATATTGAAATTATCCCACTTTCTCCCTAGTATTTAAAAAGAAAGAAAATTTGCTTCTAGGTTTCTAGAATCTCCTAAAGGAAACCCTTATTGAGCTGCAAACACACTCATTAGAAATTTAAACCACAAAGCTCAACAATACAGCACAGTGCGCACCACAGCTTTTTACAGGATCAAAACTACTTTACATGTCAGTCCCTCAGTGAAACAGGAACAGTGAATTGGGTATCATCAGGTGTTAAGTGAGTGAAATAATAGCAATGGATCCAAAATGCTCAGGGATGCAATTCACCCTAACCAGGATACAATCCAGGGAAGCTGAAGTTATTGGCATCCTAACCCAGAATTTTACTGTAAGAAAACAAAAATATTCACAATAAAGACCACGCACTACACAGGAAAAGATTTCAAAATTATAGAATCATAGAGTGGTTGGCAGGGACCTCAAGGATCATCTGGTTCAACCTTTCTAGGTACTACTCTGGTTGATATGAGGTGGCTCAGCCCCTTGTCAAGCTGAGACTTTAAACTGTCCAATATGGGGGGATCTGCCACTTCCCTTGGGAGACTGTTGCAATGTCTGACTGTCCTCATGGTGGAAAATTTACCTCTTGTGTCCAATGGGAATCTCCCCAGGAGCAACTTGTGCCCATCACCCCTTGCCTTTTCCATGGGACTCCTTGTAAATAGGGAGTCTCCATCTTCTTGGAAGCCACCCTTTAAGTACTGGAACATGGCAATAAGGTCTCCCTGAAGCCTTCTTTTCTCAAGGCTGAACAAACCCAGTTTTCTCAGCCTCTACTCATGTGGCAGGTCCTCCAGTCCTCTGATCATCCTTGTGGCCCTTCTCTGGACCTGCTCCAGAAAATGAAATATGATAATTCACTGTTGTCCCACTCCTATCACAGGCAGTGTGACAAGGTGTTTGGCAGAGCTGTGACCAAAGAGCCTTGGGCTGTGCTGTTTGTGACACCTTTTTTTTGACTTTGAGCTAGGTATTTTTTTCAAACCACACCTAAGAACTATGAAAGAGAGGGAAAGGCAGAGGGAAAAAAAGAGAAAAAAATATTATATTCTCAGGGCTTAAAAAGACCTTATGCATGTGCATAGAAGTATTGGGTGCAGAAAATGTATTTCAGAGCAGGAGTCTGCCTGCCTACCAGAAGGTAATATTTTTTCATCATCAGTTTTTTTCCACTACTTACATTTAGAAATTATATTTTCTGTATTCGTTTTTCCTTGACATTATTTTTCATGACATTTCCTAACGATCCTTTTTGTGGTTGATCATTGTCTATTTTAAGGATTTTATAATTTTCCAAGCAAGCAATCTAGGCTACCACTGTAACCTAACTCAGGCTTAGCAAACCACACAGTCACAGAATTATTGAGGCTGGAAAAGACCTCTGAGATCATCAAGCCCAGCCTATTACCAACACCACCAGATCAGCCAGACCATGGCACTAAGTGTCACATCCAGCCTTTCCTTAAACACCTCCAGGGATGGTGACTCCACCACTTCCCTGAAATGGAAAGGATATGCCCAGCACATGATAAGGATGACTAAGAAAAGCCTTCACCTACAGCAGGCAATAAAACTGTTTAAGCACGTGGTGAAATTCACATGGGAGACCCAAAGATGAAGAGGATAACGCCAGAACATGACATTAATAATTTGGACTTCTTGAACAAACTAGAACTAGACTGGTAGAATAGTTCAGATAGAGTAGAGAAAGGTCTGAAGCAAAAGAAAGGTGGTCAATAAATTAAGCCAAATCCGACTGTCTCATATATCTCTCAGGCAGAAGCAGGGGTCAATGGCTAAAGTAATGCTCAAAATAGCCCAAACACACTGAATGTGTGGTATTATTTTTGATTTATTGGAGTGCTAAAGAGCATTGCTTGGAACAAATACTCATTCCTAGTAAGGTCCTGTGTGTTGGTGGATGCCTCTGTGATACTGCAAGCACACAAGTTCACAAATGGTGTTAGAGACACTGATGCCATGTACCTCAATGGTTTGTAAACCTGAAGCAAGGGCTTATAAATTTTAAACAATGAAGATCTACAAACATGAAGTATCTGAAGAGCAATAGCTCACTACCTGCTGGACAGCAGTGCTCAGATGCTAGGAATTTTCTTTTTAATTTTATTTTGATTAGAAAGAGGTAATGTGGCACACACTCATAAAAAGGAATGGAAGACATATATGAGTCTAGGTGGACTCTCACATCAGCTTATTAAATATTTAAATGCCATTGAATACAATAAGGAGAAGTGATGGCTTTTATCACTATGTTAGTTACTATTCTTGATTTTTTTTTTCCCCCCCAGTATGTAGCTATTTTTAATTTAGGTCTGTAAACTGGAGATAGAATAACTAGGCCATATTGGTGACACTCACAGAATCAGAGAATAGTCATGATTGGAAAGAACCTCTGAGATCACCAAGTCCAACTATTATTAAAAAACAAACAAACAAACAAACGAAAAACCAACACACAACACACCACCCAAATAAACCAAAACCAAAAACCCCACACAACAAAACACCAAGCAAACACAAACACCACACAAAAAATCCCCTACAATCTTGGTCACTAGAGCATGCCCTGAAGTTCCACATCTACATGTTTCTTGGATCCCTCCAAGGATGGTGCCCCCTCCCCCCCCCTGGGCAGCCTGTTCCAGTGCCTGACCACTCTTTAAGTACAGAAATTCTTCCTAATATCCAATCTAAACTTCCTCTGGAGCAGCTTCAGGCCTCTCATCCTGTCACTGGTTGCCTGGGAGAAGAGCCAAGTCCTCACCTGACTGCAACCTCCCTTCAGGTAGTTGTAGAGAGTGAAAAGGTCCCCCCTGAGTCTCCTCTTCTCCAAGCTAAACAACCTCAGCTCCCTCAGCCTCTCCCTATAAGACTTTCCATCTAGACCCTTCACCACCCTCATTGCTCTCCTTGGGACCTGCTTTTTGTTTGGTCTTTGCTGTCCTCATCCACAGGACATGTGCAGCAGATGTTAAGATGTTCAAGTGGTGCTCACTGAAGATTCTATTGCTCTTTTCTTTGTAGTTTTTATTATGAAATACTTTTTCATTAATCTGTATCAGCCTTTCCTTTGATCTTAAATTATTTTAATTTTAGGAAGCACTGTGATCAGACATTGGAATGGACTGCCCAGGGAAGTGGTGGAGGCACCATCCCTGGAGGTGTTCAAGGAAAGGCTGCATGTGGCACATATAAATGCATGTCCTGCCAAAAAAACTCCACATTCTGCATTTATCCATGACTGCAAGTATAGAAATGAAGATAACAATATAAGCCAAGATGGACTGTTTCCAACATGCAGTTTCAAAAAGTAATCAGCATATCAAAACTAGATAATGTCAATTTATATGCATAGCAAAAAGTCTCCAATTTTCAAGTGTCAGAAACTGCATCTGCAGTTCAATTTCTGAGTGAATGAGATGCCTGGGAGAAGAGCCAAGTCCTCACCTGACTGCAACCTCCCTTCAGGTAGTTGTAGAGAGTGAAAAGGTCCCCCCTGAGTCTCCTCTTCTCCAAGCTAAACAACCTCAGCTCCCTCAGCCTCTCCCTATAAGACTTTCCATCTAGACCCTTCACCACCCTCATTGCTCTCCTTGGGACCTGCTTTTTGTTTGGTCTTTGCTGTCCTCATCCACAGGACATGTGCAGCAGATGTTAAGATGTTCAAGTGATGCTCACTGAAGATTCTATTGCTCTTTTCTTTGTAGTTTTTATTATGAAATACTTTTTCATTAATCTGTATCAGCCTTTCCTTTGATCTTAAATTATTTTAATTTTAGGAAGCACTGTGATCAGACATTGGAATGGACTGCCCAGGGAAGTGGTGGAGGCACCATCCCTGGAGGTGTTCAAGGAAAGGCTGCATGTGGCACATATAAATGCATGTCCTGCCAAAAAAACTCCACATTCTGCATTTATCCATGACTGCAAGTATAGAAATGAAGATAACAATATAAGCCAAGATGGACTGTTTCCAACATGCAGTTTCAAAAAGTAATCAGCATATCAAAACTAGATAATGTCAATTTATATGCATAGCAAAAAGTCTCCAATTTTCAAGTGTCAGAAACTGCATCTGCAGTTCAATTTCTGAGTGAATGAGAAATCCTCTGGGCCTTGAAGTGACATAAAGAAAGCATCAAGGGCAGACACAAAGAGTGAACACACCCTTTCTAAAATGTAAATACTTTCAAAGAACATGATGAAATGTCCTAGTCTTGTACCATGAGCTAGAAATCCCTACTGTAATTGTTCCTGCTATGTCCAGAAAGCTGAGAACCTCATCTGATGAATATTCATGGGCACCTTCCTCATGCATTGAGTCAGAATAAACTGTCATGGGCTTATTGCACTACTGAAAGAATTTTATATTG